AGCTTATTGTTAGCTTAGCTTTAGCTTTAGCTTTAGCTTAGCTTTAGCTTAGATTTAGCTTTGCTTTAGCTTAGCTTTAGCTTAGCTTCAGCTTAGCTTCAGCTTAGCTTTAGCTTAGTGTTAGCTTAGCCTTAGCTTAGCCTTAGCTTAGCTTTAGCTTAGCTTCAGCTTAGCTTTAGCTTAGCTTTAGCTTAGCGTTAGCTTAGCTTTAGCTTAGCTTTAGCTTAGCTTTAGCTTGGCTTTACTGTTACTACTAATGCTGCTTTCCTAGGGGCTCCAACTCCTAGGTAGGGTCGCACTGGGATATTTTTTTTTCACGTCGGGTTTATGTTATAAAAACATAGTTTTTGTTATTCGCACATTTTCGTGTTCTAAGAACATTTCGTGGTAGGACTATAAGAATGCCGGGACGGTCGGTCCCTGCTCAAATCGAGGCCTCGGACCAGGTCCATCATGGCGTCAGGAAGTCAGGAGACCGATCAACCACTTGGGCCTGGGACCCCACGGCCTGCAACAAACAAATATCCGCCAGAGTCTGAAAACGATCCGCAGGCAACTGCTTTTGAAGCTTCACGATGAGGGCGCGCACTAGAATTATGATGTGCCAACCTACTTTAGCCTTGATCACCCAAAATAACTTCGAGCCCCCCAAACAAGTACTGGAACTCAAGGATTTTCACGTGTCGGGCCCTGGGAGGCACTCGTCCGACACTGTTTCGAGACTGTTTCGTCACCCTTTCGACACTTTTCCGGGTGCTCGAAATTTTTGCTGGGATGTGGTCTTTTAGTACGATGGGAGCAACATAACACTAGAACCTTGGTCATAGCCAATGCACACGAGCAACCTGCTGCCACTGTGCCGTTTGTACAGGTGGTGGTATTGCTTCCTCCCAGACAGCACGCCGATGAAGCCGATACACCACACAGAGGCATCTGAGCAACTGGAGAGGAAATCCTGCATGAACAGCCTCTCTCTTGAGCTCCTCATGGGAAGGAATGCGTTCGTAGTATTTGCTGAGGTCCAGCACTCCGCCGGAGGCCGAGAAGCTTTTCAGCTTGGCAAACCGCTGCAAAATATGATGCACATGCCCAGACCTATCACGCGTGTGTCCAGCATCGCCCCATAAGGCAGGATTGTCCAGGCAGAGAGCTTTCCCAGCGACGGGCGACAGGCTGCCGAAGGCGCGACCACACACGGCACCACGGGAGGAGGAGATCAATCGGGCGCACTCTTCCGGGGGCTGCGGCTTACTGTTAAAAAACACCAGCCGAAGCCGGAGATTTGGGGCCCGTGGCTGGGCTTCCCACGCAGTCGAGATGTCAAGGAAGGCTCGACGCTTGGATGGAGGCAGCCACTGCATCTGACGAGAGTGGAGCTAATCCCAACCGAGACCAGCTGAAGACGAGTAGGTGCCCAGGACGCGGTCGAGCTGCTCCATCGTCAGTGGGGGCAGCGGCTCGAGAGGATCCGGAGCCTGCTGAACCCCCGCGGCCTCATGAGAGCCAGCCGTGCACTCCTCCGACCCCCACCCGTCCTCCGCCCGAATCTCCGGACAGATGGCGTCGAGGTCCCACGACGCAGGATGGAGCTCACCAGCCCTCTGGCTAGAAACCCAAAGAGGTTCCCAGTCCTGCATGATCCTCGCAAGGGGCCGAGTGCCAGAGACAGGGAGTTTTGATCCCGATCACGGCGAAGCTGCTGCTCGAGGTGCTTGCGCAAAGCCACCAGCAAACGGGAAGCGCCCTGGAATGTTTCGATGGCGCCAGGCGAGAGCAAAATCAACCAAATCTGACAAGGGGACACCAGCCCACTCCTTCAGAGCCCCGAATCATCCGGGGTAACTCGGGTCGGGGCTAACTCGAGTTCGTTTTTCGGGATTCCGAACCCGAGTTACCCCAGACCCGAGTTACCCCGGATAATTCGGGCGTCAAGAGCCCCATTTCATCAGGGGTAACTCGGGTCAGGGCTAACTCGGGTTCCTTTTTCGGGAATCCAAACCCGAGTTACCCCGGATAGCTCGGGCGCCCAAACTCCTTGAGCGGGCCTTCAGATGGCCAGTCAAGCTTGAGGGAAGCAGCCGTGCGCCTCTGCCTGCGCAGGGCCGCCGGCTGGGGCTCTCGCCCGTCTCCGGCTGCGGGCCCTAAGAAAACGAGGCGAACGGTGTCGAATAGAATCTGGACCAAGCACGATATTCGACAGAGGTGTTCTGCCTCTGATACTCTCGGAGGTTGATAGACCTCCTACCCTGACACGTCGATTAAGGAATTGGCCGTTTTCGGTTCGCGAGAGGGCGTCGAGGCCGTCATTTTTGCGGGTCCAGGCCCGTCGGTTTCGGTCCCAGGCCGTTTTCACTAAGGGGAGGTTTACTAAAGTGAGGTTTGTCCACCGCCGATACTCACTCCAGCAAACAGAAAGAGGCTCGGTTACCGTCTTAAGCCAGAGTCGCGGCCACGCCAGCGACCCTGGCGCCAAGACTGAGAGTCATGAAACTCCGCGAGGTAGGTCTCCGCATGGCGGAACCACTCAGCACGCGCCCCTCCGAGAGCTGCCGGGAGCGCCTCGCCCACGGCCCAGGACCACTCACAGGGAAGAGCCGCACGCGGGGCAGGCCTGACAGGAGGAGGCTTCTCAATACATAGGGAAAAGCATCGGCTGCTCAGGCCGACAGATCGCAGCCTTCACTCTCGAACTTTGCCATGGCGGCCGAGTGGGTCTGGATGGGCGCGGCCTTCAGCAAGCAAACGGCCACGACGAAACTGGCGAGCACCGAGCTGCAGGCCCCGAAATCAATCTCCCCGGCACCACGCGCCGCCTCCCATGACCGCAAGCAGACGCCACGGGCACGGCCGAGCCATTTGTCCAAATCATCTGGGAGCATGTTCCAATCGCCCGGAAGGATCCACGGCCCGTCGAGGCAGCGCAGGCCTGACAGCAGGGAGTCCAGGATAGCGACGTTGTCTTTGGCAAGGCCAATGGACGTCACCAAATAGAGAGACACCGCATGGAGAGGAATCGGAAGGCCTATGTTGACCTTCGCCGTGACTACGCGATGTCCAGGGAGGCCCCGATCAGCACTTGACTCCTCCACCGCAGGAAGGCTCGAAAGGACTGCAACGCCTCCACTGGACTCCAGAGGGCCATCACCAGTGGCTTCCGCAAGCTCTCCAATCAACTTGTAACCACGCTGCCTCGTTCACTTATTGGCCAGGTCCCACGCGTACTTGTGATTCATCCTGTGCTCCTGGATGTACAGCAGCTCAGGCATGCCGACACCCTCGGAGTCGTGCCTGATGCACTCCATCAGCGTCTGCGTAGAGGACTACTGGGACGTGTTCGCAGACAGGATGGAGAACTCACCGTTCGGCACCGAAGCGCCGCCGCCAGCCGCAAGAGGATGGGCCCCAGCGCCTCGGGCGTCCTCCCTGGTAACAGGCCGCCACCCAACGCTTTTTTTGTCCCGCGCTCACAGGTTGGGCGAGTGCCTCGCGACCACCTGCGGACCCCTCAGTCCTGCCTGGCACCACCAGGGCAGGGCAAGCCCGGCACAGGACCCGACCCGCCGTCGCCCAAGGGGCTGCTTCTTGGCTTGGATGCCACCAGGAGCCTCCAGCAAGCGCTTGGAGGCCGTCTTGTCCCCATCGACGACGAAGCCAGCCTTGGCGAACTCTGACGGGAGCTCTTCATCATCAGGGTCGTAGGGGGCATGTCAGTAACGTCATCGGTGTCAGGGGCGACAGCAGGCACAGACACACCAGGAGCCCCAGCAGCAGGCGCCGCAGGCTTGGCCTTTGCCTCGAGCTTGGTGTTGACGTCCTTGAGTTTCGACGAGACTTGGGCCAGCTGGGTGTTGAAGTCGATGTCGAAGTGACGAGTCGCTCGAGGCAGCAGGGTGTTGAGTGCCTCCAGGCTGGCCAGGGCTTCTTCAGGTTGTTCATCTTCTTTGGGAGAGCCTGGCGTGACTGACTGCGCCTGTGCCTCTCGGATGGCTGCATCAATCTTCCGCATGGACTCCTCATGTTGCTTGATGAGTTTCTGGGCCTCGGCGGCGACCTGGATGGCTTCCTCCACTGCTTTGTCTGCCTCTGCCCCTCGGGCACGAGCAGATCCGAGCTGCTTCTTGTTGGACCTCTTCCTCTGGAGCAAGTCCTGCAGGCCCTTTGAAGAGAGGTCAGCAGGTAGTGGGGCAGGCTCCGCAGGTTGGCCCTCAGCGAACTGCACCACTTCAGTGCGGCCTT